TGTGATCAGTTTGTCTAAGTACCTGAGGAAAGAATGTAGAGAGGATGAGGCCAAAGTATTCTCATTGGTGGCCAGTGACAGGACAAGGGGAAATGGGTATAAGTTGAAACACAGAAAGTTCCATCTCCACATGAGGATGAACCTCGTGAGGGTGACAGAGCCCTGGAACAGGCTGCCCAAGGAGGTTGTGGAGTCTCCTTCTCTGGAGGTCTTCAAAACCCATCTGGATACCACCCTGTGCCCCGTGCTCTGGGTGTCCCTGCAGGAGCAGAAAGGTTGGACTAGATGATCTTGAGAGGTCCCTTCCAGGCTCAGCCAGTCTGTGATTCTGTGATTTCCAATTACTGTTAACTGAATGTGGGCTAATATTAAATGCAAGTAATAATAAAAAATCTTCACAACACCAAAAAGACATACACAAATACAAGCAACTTATAAACAAGACAGGTGGAAAGTGAATGAAAAACTTAATTCCAAATCCTCTGTCCCCTTTAGCATCCAACTTGCTGTTTTCTTAACACCCTCTTAGATGTTGCATCTTTGTATGTGCCCCGAGACTGCATCGACCTGAGACACCCCTTTCCTAGAAGGGCACGTCAGTCTCATGGTAGTTTCCTTTATGGATTTGTTTATGGGATTCAAAGAATTAATATTCCCTCATTCCCCAAGGAAAATATTTGTTGACTGGAGGAATTTCACTGCCGCCCTTATCAGATGCACGACTGGTTTAACTGGCCCCTGCGCTYGGTTCCTGTCCCTGCACTGCCCCCTATGCAGCTACCGCCCAGCCACGGACCACTGGATCCAGCTGCTGCAGGACTGCAATGCAGGTTACACTAGGTTTTTGTTAAAATTAATGCAACTTTTCATTAATTTTGCCACACTTTCTGCAACACAGACGTGTTTCCAAATCAGATTCTCCAGGCTACCCTCAACTCTGCTGGGCTGCACAGGGTTTAGCAACAGGAACAAACAGGGAGCTGGAGRGAAGCTGCTGAAACAGCCCCATCTCCAAAGAAACCTCCTGGCTAAAATCCACCTGCTCAAGAGACACCAAGGGGGTGCTCTCGATGCTGCTCACACTAGGGCTGGTGTCACCTGCTGGCAGATACCAGTGCCCCATCAGCAGTGCAAGCATCAGTTCTCAAACCCACCTGCACGATCAAGTTTATGTCTGTGCCCTGGCAAAGGGCTGCTTTGTTTCCCGAGGAATCCTGGACAGGGTTAACCACCCTCTGCTCGCAGCAGGCTTCACAGCAGCTGGTCCGGGGAGGCAGCGGGGCGGCCTTGCTGCAGAGATTGTCCCCTTGGCTCCGTGTGCCTCGGCCTGCAGCAGACACCGCGTTGCTGCAGCCCAGCTAGACACCCTGGTGACCGCAGAGGCTTCYAGCCCAACACACCTCTCACCGACCAGGCCACCACGGGCAACAGCAAGGGCTTCTACTCAATCAACAAGGACTACAAATTCAGCAACAAGTTGGCAGCATSTAAAAAATCTGGACAAAAAATACATACCCACTCAGATCATTTCTGATTAGTTAGTTCTGCCAAATGCAATTAGCAGGATTTGCAATTAGTGGCTCTATTTATTCACCAAGCTTGCAGTCGAGTTCATAACAGTGCCCTATGAAATTTCTCTGCTACTTTGACACAGACAACTACCGCTAGAGAAAAGATGACTACACTGAGAGGAGTTCGAACAAGCAGTACTTGCTACTATCTACAAACATTTTGACAGTCATTTAAAAAATGCAAATTTACCTAAACAAACATAGTAGAAAGGACAGGTAAAAAAAAGACAGGAAAAAAAAAAAAGTGTGTGCATAAACATAAGTTTTAAGRATAAGTATCAAGTGGGGTGGAAAACAAGCCCAGCTGCTGCTCTCTTTARGCAGCCTGGAAGGGAAGCACATGAGGTGGCTGTTCAGTGGGCGCCCAGCCCTGGCAGTCTCCGTTCCTGGGATCAGGCGCTGCAGGATGTCCCGCATTGTTTGGAGCGGTTGGGGTCACAGCAGGGCAAGGCTACAAAACAAACTGTTAACAAGAAAACTGGCTGGAACAAACCGGGACAATTTGAGAAGTTCCTGTCTGGAAAATGACTGTTTACAAAATGAAAAGCAGCTCCCTTAAYCATTAGTACCTCTGATACCGTAGGGTATTTTGCTTCACAAAGCCTGGTTTCATCAGCCACCAGGTCTGCTGCTTTGGAGTACTGAAAAGAYTAGATTTTGCTCCTGTGTCAAGGAAGAATGAAAAATTAAGCTGCTTCTTCACATGGCAGCAGGCTTTCCTTTTGATTCTTTTGTATTACCTGAAATGATGTGCACGGAACCAAAACACTTGCTCTTTGGTGCTTCTTTAATGAGAAAGACACACGAGGCGGAGGGCGATGCAGTTTATTCTTTCATGTCATTAAAACCCGTCTTTATACATACACACACACACACACACACACACACACACACACACACACACACTCTCTCCCCCCATATATTCCCCCTCTAGATCTCTGTGCTTGGAAAACATCAGCACTGAAGGCTCTAAAGTGAGCAGGACTAATGGTGTGCAGCAGAAACCCAATCTGTTCCAGATGTTGCACTTAAGAAGTACCTGCAGTCCTGGAATGGTTTGTTTCTACCTGCTCCAGTGCCTTTGTTTCCRGGATGAATACACAAACAGCTCCCCAGGATCCACGGATGATTTACGAGGCCCCATGAAGCCGCCTCCATCTGCCAGGACATGCCCCTGCTCTTCCTGGGGCCCTCTCTTCCCCGGTTCAAAAGCAATCCAGGTACTCTCTGCAGAGCAGCACCCAAGCTAGGAAATCCCAATTTACCTGACATCCCTGGATGTCATGTATTTATTTAAATGTCTTTAGCATACATTTCCTTACATTCTATACCCCGTCCAGAGCAATAACTGCAAGGCTGTGCAGAGCAGTTTGGGTTCAGTACAGCCGACACTGAGCTAGGTCTAGCAGGTTACACAAGGCACACGCACGGCTGGGCAGCAGCAGGCTCAGTACCTGGAGCTGCAGAGCAGCTGCCCCATTCTGAGCACGCGGGGCTGTGACACACACGTGCGCTGCAGCACGAGGCATGTTCCCATCAGATCAGGTATCCCCGCCTACCCTCCCTTCTGACCTTAAGTGACAGAACCCATTGACTGAAAAAGAAAAATCCTAATCACCTACATAAAAAAAAAAAAAAAAGCCAAAATCATCTTTTTTTTAAATTTGCAAAATTAAATTTGTAGCAGTATTCCCAGCATACTAGAGGTGACTTACTTCATCAGCTCTACACCCTAAGTGGGACGTGATGCACGCAGGGGCACAAGGTGTGCATGGACACCGACCATTCTCAGAAAAACTGAGTTTTACAACTGCGGACAAGCTCCAGAATTTACAATAAAAGGTGTTTCAGGGAGTCTTAATACTGTACGTTATGCAAACATGCTGCAATAAACACGTCTCCCCGACTGCTCTCTTCCTTTTGTTCAAGTCGTAACCATGTTTTTATACATAATTAATTTAAGTTGCTTAAGAGCAAAGTGAATGTTCCAGTTTGTTGTACAACTGATGTATTAGATSCTAGGGAGTTTCAGAAAATCAGCTGTCACTTGGAAACACCCAGACCTTTAAAAATGTTTCTTTTTTGTTGCTGTTCTGACATGGTTGCATAAAACCCAGAATCCTCAGATAACCAACCCCAAACCAGAAGAAAGCACAGCCTCCTTGTATTATATTATAGTATCTGACATGCTGGACACATGAAATTTGGAAGCATTACTAGAAATTCAGTAGCTATTATAAAATCAACAGTCCTCAGTGCTTGAAGCACATAACAGACATCTAAATAACAATCTCAAATCAGTTATCATRTGAGAATGCAGTAAAGGAGATGCAATATTTGCTTTAATAAAGGACAATGCTAACAAAGAACTTAATACACATTCAGCGGGCTGTAACTGAAAAGTAAAAAGAAAAAAAAAGGCAATCAGTTTCTGAAAACCTGTGAAGCCTTCCCAAAAGAGCTCAGAAGGGAGGGAAAAAAAAAAAAAAAAAAAAAGACAATCTCAAGAAATAAAAGCCAATATAGGGGCAGCAAGGCAGAGGAATGCATGTTAAGGCACTAAGTCATATTAGCTTTGCTGTCTTTCAAGATGACACTCACCTCCAGGTATTTCAAGGTGTTGGGCAGCCCTCCTCCTTTTTGCCTCAGTGTCTCCTCCCGAAACCTCCCTACCTCAAGCTTTGCTGCAGACGCAGAAATCCTCAGCAGAAGAGAAATGCCATTTTCTGCATCCTGACTTCAATTTTTGCCACCATATGTTTTCTCCTAACCTGGCATCTCTGATTTTCCGAGTAAGGGGAACAGCTTCTCAAAGACATTCTTCTTGTTGGACTTCACCTTCTGGCTCTTCCCTGGCCCAACAACAATATTTGTACTGCTCAAAGCCTCAAACCAGGTGGATGATAAACCACCAAAATTCCTAAGTGCACCACTCAGAGAATGTCTTTCCCTAAATAAAAATGTTAGCTTTAGAATGGCCTAACTGTAGCAGGTGGTGTCTATTAAATTCAGTATCTGATGAAAAAAGAAGTAAAAAAAGTGTCTGAAGGGATTTTGGTCCCCCCTTCAACTGCTCTCCTACATCTTCATTCAAACCTGAGCAAACTGAGGTTTTCATTTCCTCCTATGTAAAGGAGCAAAGTTAAAAGCCTTTCAGTCCTGGGGCAAAAAGTGAGTATCTTGACATGTAAGAATTATCTTAGAACACACATACCACATATCTGATACAGAACTAAGAATCATGTCGTTCAGACTGCACATAATTTTCTTCTTAAAATACAGCTAAAAGGCAAGTTYTTATCACGGAAATTTTCAAAGCGACCAAGTGCTTTGAATAACAATTTTGTAGCATTGAAAGTTAAACGAAAAAAAAAAAGTTACAGAAAAAAGAAAACACCAAGTTATTTCAAAAACCTCTGTTTTATTTGTACAGAGTAAAATACATCATAGAGTGAATATACTGTGTTCAACCCATAATCTAGAGCCATTAACAAGTGTTTTCTTTTCACCAAATACCCTGGCCAGAAGCACCCAGACAATGGGAATGGGAAGGCTAATTAGTCTCTCTCTGCCAGAGCTACAAGGTGCACATCAATCTCTGCTTCTGTAAGGATCCTAAAAGAACAACAAAAAAGAAATCTTAAAGAGCTTTGATGAGTCTTCCCCTTGCGCTCCCATATTTCAAGCTAATGTAACAAGTTTTTATGCAATGCGTCTTTCAGTGCTTTCAAGCACTGCTGCCAGGCCACAGGCCAACGTACCAATTCTTCTTGGAAAATACTGAGAGCATCAAAGGCACTAGAGAGAAAGGGGTAACAAAGGGAGAAAAAGAACAGGTTGTTCCTCTTGAGTAATGTATATTTGCAGCCTGGGACTGCGGAGAAGAAAAGCCATGGTAATTAGCAGGATCCCTCCAGTGGGGACACAGATTTTCACAGCCTTCCTTTCTGGGTGTTACCCATCCTTTCCAGGAAGGACACAAGGGCTGGAAGATAAAGCCTGGCACAAAGTTAGCYCTAGTGCCTTGCACCAGTGGTGAAGGGGCAGCTCTACCCTACAGGTCAGCATTTTTCCCCCAAAATGCTCTGCTATTTTATCATCCTAAACCAAAGCACCCATCGCCTCCACGTCAGCTTGTACACATTAAGCACCACTCAGAAAGCTGCCTCTGCAGGGCCCAAGGCTCTGAAGAGCCCCTTCATCCACTGACACGGGTAACAATGGTATAAAACACGCGCCTCTTCCTCTCCTGCTCGGGGAGAACCTGGCAGTTGGTGGAATGTACTCGAAATAAAAATATTTGCATGAGTTGCCATGACTGTGATTTGGGGGTGCACTCTAGAATACAGGTGCAAACTAAAGCTTTCAGTCTTTTAAATATGAAAACTCACCTAGACTCACGGTAACTTAACTTGAATCAAAAACCCTTTCGGTTTTAAAAGATACCCTTTTTTGGTTTTAAAAGATACGAAGGAAACTTCCATTTCCACATTGTGCTACTTTTTTTTTTTAACCATTTTCTTTTATCACCACCCAACTGAATAGTTAGAAACAAGAGAGGGCTGGGCATACAGTTTCTGATATTTCCTTCCTTTTCCCACTTTACTATTACACAAGGAGCTAAAACTAACTGCACCTAACCAGAGAAACAGAGAGCAAGCTTTAGCAATGCTGATCACTCACCTGAATTTAGGATTTTCCACAGTAACTACACCAACTTCTATTTCTGAGGGCTTGAAATCAATGGATAGTACAGTAGACAGGCAGGTTATTGCTGTCTGAAAGATGACAAAAGCACAGACTATTAGGCACAAAGCAATAGACCACTTGTTTTTATATAGACCTAGCATCCAACTACTCTTCTTTCCAACTGTAAATTATTGCCTTCCCTCTCAAAACACCATCTGTAAAGTTTCAAAGTTTTCTCTTGTTAGAGGATATAGATCCTCTCTAGGTCTCTCCCTAAAAAGTTCAATTTACAAAAAAACTAAGAATATATTTTCTTAGCAGGGAAAAAAAGGAGAGAGGAAATGGAAAGGGAGAAAACAAAAGATAAACCCCCTGGGTCCAAAGACAGAGCATGTTTGCCACACAGAAAACAAACCAGGCATCACCAGTACAATCCAGAATCATTTAGAGTATGTTATGTGTGCTGCATGTTACTGGCTTTTCATTTTGAAAATYAAAATTACATTAATCATTTTAAATGCTACATTTAATTGTGGTTTAACTTGACTTTTTTCCCCGCCCATAAAAAAACACCCACTATTTGTTTTAAAAGTGTTCTCTACTTAATGCTGCAACAGAACTGTAATACTATGCTGAAGMTACACACAGAGTGATGAGCGTGCACAAAGGGAAGTTTTGTAAACAGCTACGTAGCCAGGTGCATGTCAAAACACTTACTCTGACATGCTGGGACTTAACTCTATGAGTAATAATATTTGGGGAGTACGGAGCACTCRACAAAACCTTACTAAGGTTTTTCACTATACCATAATATACTGATTTTGCAGGAATTCTAGGAGACTTGAAAACTTTGAGAATGAGACTAAGCAGATGTCTTAACAGAAGACTCCATGGAAGCAGAGTTGTGAGAGTTTGTTTATCCACAGAGCACTACTACTACTGCTATTTAAAAACAYCAAAGTGCTTTTGCTCAGCAGACTGGCTTCTCTCTGTCGCCATCTGCTTTTAAAGGGACAATATCTGATCTACATTCACAAGTTCAGCATTCTTACAAACCCAAAAAGCTGCACAAATGCATCCAGGATTTGACCTGTGGAACTTGGTTTCAAGCAAATACTTGCTCCATAAGCACGGAAGCTTTATGAATTAAAAAAAAAAAAAAAAAAAAAAAAAGCTCAATTGCTTCCGATTCTGATCCCTCATCTAAGTGATGCGTACAGTGTAAACAGGTCATGATACAAAAATACATTTAGTTTGAGGATTATTTAACCAGGATAGAAAAATGGTTCCAAAAGAACCTGGAATTCATGGTATGTTCCACTTCAACATGATAGGAGCACTTAAATGGCTCAGGATCTTCTTTTACAGAAACCAGCAAATTGCAGAAATTGGTATTTATTGTCCCTTTTAGGCATACGATGTGGCTTCTGTAGTAATGCAGACTCCAGAAGCAATTTTGCTGGAGTTCTTGAACTGCACAGCATTCACACACACCTCAACACAACAGGCCGTTTGACTTCACTGCATTAGCAGTGTGCAGAGTGCAGAGTGCATTAGCAGAGCCCACTGCAACTGCTGACCTTGTGATGCACGAAACTCAACACTGGGACTGCAGAACAAGACTGGACAGGATAATCGGCCCCTTGAATAGGGCTGTTTATACAAACCTCTGCTGTGTAAGTGAAACTGGAGAATTATTTAAAAAAAAAAAATCAGTGACCAGCTTTATAAAACAGGGTGCCACCACCAGCTACAGCGGGTGCCCACAGAATCCCTCTCAGCTAACACAGGGGCAGGAAGAGCAGATGAGGCTGCTCCACCTGAAGAGTCACCAGGTGCCYTCAAAAGGCTTTCCAGTGGGAATGGCTGCATTTGGCCTGGCAGCGAAACCGAGCTGCAGGACAAGAGGAAAAGCCTGGCTGCACTCCCTGTGTCACAGCCCCATGCACAGCTCGCTCCCCCTGAGCTGCCTACCTCGACCGTCTGCTCGTAGGTCCAGTCAAATTTCTTCTTTACTTTCTTCTCAAGAAAACTGGTCGACTCGGTCTGTTTAACTCCTGCGGCCGTGGCCTTGAAGCCACAGTAGTAGCCTGCCGGGTCGCACTTGTACACCTGCGGGCCGTGCTCTTCATCGATACCGATCAAAATCATACCTTCAAGGAACAGGGACGTGATTTTTAATAAAATCTCATTCACCTTAGGAACAAAGCATAAATTCTTTCTCTCCTGTGAAAGACACACGAGCACAGAGACATGTTTATGCAAACCAGTCTAATCCACAGACTTGCAACCTCCTTGTCACCTCTAAGCTGCTATTTCTTACCAGCAGCTCGCTTTAGTGCAACTAGGTTCATGCCACGTTCGCACAAGGGCACTCGTTAAAAGCAGAGAAGTTTCTTGCCATGCTTAGAGAACCACAAAGTCAGGAAATACAGAAGTTGTTAGCACAGGTTAACACAGCCACACTTAACATCCTGTGCACTGCACAATGTTCAAAAAATGTACACAATAGTTCAATTAGGACACACTCTTCATCAGAAAGCAGCTTTACAAATAATTAGGGACATCTAATGATAAATAATTTATATGATTTATTTTTAATTTATAACATTTATAAATAATTAGACATCTTGACTACAACCCCGACAAGTCCTCCTTTATATCAATTTCATATTTCTTTTTTGTAAAAAAATAGAAAAGGGAAATCTGAGAAAAGAAAATGGAATCTTTTAGATCATCTGACTTAGTGACTTCAAGTTGGGCAGATTTCAAGTAATTCAAACTTGTCACAACACTGAAGTGCATCTATGCTCAACTATAATTCTAGATTTGTAGTTGTATGATAATCTCAGTATGCACCTTAAAAATATTTCAAGATCAAAATGTGCTAAAAAAAAAGAGAAAAACAAAAAAAACCAAAACATAGAGCAAGATCAAGGTCTTAATGCTTACAGCCACTATCTAAACCACTAGCTGCAGCTAACACCTGGTAATTAACAGAATAACTGCTGTGGAAAAATAAAATTGAAAAACAAACAAATGAAAACTCTTCTAAAAAGGAGAAGCAGCATCAATTTGTATTGCTGTATTCCAAGAAAACCAAACAAAACTAAAGCACCCCCCAGCACCACTTTCCAGCATTATCGAGGCACGGGGAATGCCAAGGGACATAAGAAACGATTATTCCTGAAAGTTACAAGCATAAGAAAACTGGCCCATCACAAAACGTGGTGCAACCCCAAATGTTACTTCTTTACTAAGAAGTGCTTAGTGTGCACTAAGGGTGCCTACGATTACGAGAAGTGATTCATCRATTCTAAAAATATTCTTGGGAAAAGAAAAACTAAAGTCACACASCAGCCTCCCACCCAAACAGAGAGAATGTTGAGCAAAACAGTTATTGAGGAAACATTAGATCGTTTCCCAGGCAGTTTCCAGACATCCTAAAAAGTACATTCTAAACTAGGCTGTGAATAAAATGAACAAATTGGAATCCCCCTCGACTACCCCACCCCCACTAAATCTGAAAGTAGCCACAAATACCTAGAAAGCTTCACACGTATCTTTGTCACCTTACAATGCACTTGCAACGACAAAGCAGGACTGCTGCATAAGTGTTTGCTAGTAAAGCATATTTAAAAAAGAAAYCATAAAATCTACAAAGCCAAATTTCACTCTTCATATATCTGCTTTAATAATGGTTTTTACCTTTCACAAACACTGGTAAAAGAAGCAACTTCCATTCTCAAGCATCTGTGCACAGTGCAAACAGGCTGGGCCCGTAAAATGAAGGTGAAATAGTAACAAACATTTTAAAGAAGCTRAAAGACTTCTTTAAAGTCAGTCTCAAGTGAATTGTTGAATGAGGACTTTGATGCTTCCAACACTATGTGTTTCAGCTGTCGGTCCCTCTTACCCTTCGGTTACAACCAACTGTTTTACACAACCTGAAAGATGGTCGAGCAAGTCCCATATTTGCAATTGCAAACTCAGAAAAAGATTTGAGAGGGCAGTTTCATACTTACAACAACCAAGTGGCCTCATTTCCGCATTTTGTGTGTAGACCTGAGAAATGTCTGCAATCCTCTTGCACAGCATGTCCACGGGGATGTCGTAGCCGTACTTGTACTTCCAGTTGGCGGCCTCGTAGCGGGCTCGCTGCACCTGGGACCGGCTGTCAGCTACACAAGAGCAGCGTGAACTTCACCCAGTGCCCACCACGTTGCACGCACAGTTCCCCGCTCAAAGCTGTCTTCAAGTCAACACATTCAGAACTAGACAAGCTCTCCAAATCCAAGTTAATTTTAAAAAATTCCTAGAGCACATGCTCAGTTTTACATGATACAAAGTTGGCAAATTTATTTAAAAAAAACAAGCAAACAAACAAACTTACAACAGAGCACACACTTGGGATGCTTTAGAAGACTGGGAATTAAATACCTGTCATTCCTGTCATCACACAGCCAATATTTTCAGTAATTCTGAATAAATGAGTCACGGTGTTGGAATCCAGTAACTTGTCCTAAAGAAGAAGTAGAAATACTCTAAGAGAAAACACTAGCTTTTAATAAATAAATAAYTAGATAAATAAGAGATTCTTGATGTGTTGATATGTACAAAAGAGACCTAAAGAACCTATTACTTAAAGCTAAAAAATGTTTTTCGGGTTCTCCATTATTTAAAGGTATGGGCAGACAAAGATAAAAAAGGAGAACGATGAGGATAAAACTCAACATTTGGAAGAGTCTGACAGCTAAGCTATGGTCAACAGAATTGAAGACTGTTTCCTTGGAGGAAACTTTGAGAAGAGACACAGGAAAAATCACATGCTAGCTTTCAAACACAAAAAGCCTCCAGTTTTCTGAGCAATAAACTGTGCTGGCATATTCATGGATATCTGTTCKTTGTGCTACTGACATAATGCTTTACCAGCAGGAGTTACTCAAGAAGAGAAATTAAAAAACAAACAAACATCTGATATTGGACAACCTATCCCTTTTAAGCTACCCGTAGCAAGGTAAGCCTGGCCCTAACCTGTATTTTAGCTTTATCCCTTTGTCAGCTATAGAGAAAACCAATCCAATGTCACTGGATAACAAAATGTACAACGTTTTAACACCTAAGGGGATAACAAAATGTACAACGTTTTAACACCTAAGGGGAGCTAAAAATTACAATGAGAATAACCACCAGGAATAAGGTATTCAAACAGATATGTATCTCAGCATTAATAAACACAGGGCCAGTGTCGCGGAGCGTCACCTCCACCTTTCTCTCCCTTTCCTCCAGCACCTCCAAGTACTTACAGGTACTTTCTTCTGTGTTACAATTACTGCAGAATCCTTCCCACGAACAGCTACTGACGTCAGCCCTCCCTGGTTGATCGCCTTAAAAGCATATTCTGGGAACGAGACAGACAAGTTAACAGCAATAGCACTAGAGATATTGGTACAAGCGCCCCAAATTCCCACTCAGCAGCACAGGAATCCCACTCAGCAGTGCACCCTCCATTTCCTTCTTAATACCAAGGCATTTGTGCAGCACCTTGTGTCTTGGAGGTCTTTGGTACCACACACAACAGAGGCTTCAAGTAGGAATTAGGCCGTTCTCTCCTCACAGAACCACAGTCACTGCTTCCTTCACACATTTATTAGAAGCCTGTCTCTTCGGTCAATCAGAATTTTGTTTTGAATCAGAAGAAACGCAGAAGTTTATTATTTTAAGCATTAATACCCACCAGAATGTCACTTTATATATTGATATAAATAAAAACTGAATTTTATATTTTAACTTGTAATAAGATTGGAATTAAATATGTTTGCTTGCTGCAACATTTTCAGCCTTTTATAATCACTTGTTCTGACCTGATGTTCAAACACTGACTTGGTGTTTTTCCTCACTTTCTAGATGAAATCAGCCCACATGTCCTGCGAACAGCACAATTTCGGAAAATGTAACTGATTGAGTTTTACTTGAAGTGACTTTTGCAATAATGTTTCCTGGAAAAACGTTTCCAAAAGCTTTGTTCTCCAGTCCTTTAGGAATCTGCATGTGGCTGTATGTGGCACGCTCAGAGCTTCACTAGCTAAATGTAGCTGAAGGTTTCGCTAGCTGTGCGAATAAGACCAAAGACAGAACAAGTCTAACCAACATCAGAGCAAACTGCTAAAACAGTCTTCTAGAGTAAAGGGAGCAAGAAAGCAGCAGTTTTAAAAACTGAATTCAAATCCATGAAAAAGACCGTAGAACAGGAGAGGGATAAACTGGAAGTAGGAAAAAAAAAAATGCCAAAAAATCAAGAAAGAAAGCGCTACCACGCGCTCGCACAGAGCTTGCTATGCAGGGTCTTAGTTTTCCACCTGCTAAGCCAGTGCTGTGAAGGGCTGATTACCACGKATTTACAGCCCTGTATTTGCTGCTTCAGGCCACCTCTTTGTCTCTGTTAGCACCACAGGGAGCCCTCTCCCTTCCTCCCCGCCAGCTGCAGCTTCAGTCCCCAAGGGAGCAGCGGCGCTGTCCGGGCCGGTCGGGTCGGGCTGGGCCGGGCACCCGGCCCCACGAACGGCTCGGTCCCTTCTCAGCCCATCCCTATCCCCTCACCTACCATAAGGAGCCTAAGTCATTTTCAAAAAGATAAGTCAAAGAACTACTAGGGCCATTTAAGACTGCCTGTAAATATCAATATATAAATGTAAATATTTCGGAAATCCCATATACCTTTTTTCCAATAACAGGAGCCCTCTACAACTTCCCAAATACTTCACACTACAGTTATTCCTACATAACCATTTTCTTCACCTCCTCCAAATTTGGCTTAGAAGAAAAACCTCTGAAGACCAATGGCATGAAAACAATGATGCTATCAGGGATACCAAGCACAGCAATGAGAACTGCACGTGCAAAACAAACGCTACCTTCCTAATTTGAAAGGATTTCCAAAGACGTATGAGTTTCTTGTGCTTTGGAAGCAGCAGACAGATCTGGTGCAAAAGTGTCTCAAACTAACACTCATCAGCTCCTGAAGAATTTGGGAAGAACTTCCAACTTCTAGGATGACCTTAAAGTTCCACATCTTTCCATGTCAGTCCTCAGGCACCTACCTACTCAGTGCTCAGCACATGGAGAAGGATATTGGGGACCTCCCTAGGGACACTCGTGTATGTTACCGTGTATGTGACACGGGTAAAAGACACGGGGGCTTCCCCTCCGTTAGCTCCATGGCTAAACACCAGCCGACACCCAGGTGGAAAGCCAAGCCTGACCTCCCTCTCACTACCAGAYGCAGAAGCTCCGTCCAGCAGCACCTCACGGACACCTGGTCAGAARGGCTGGGCGCAGCAGCCGGCACGTTTTGAAGGCAGGGCAAGGCTGGACACCCTGACCCCTGTTCTCCTGCATGAGAAGGTGCTGGCCCTGCTACCTGCGTAAGGTTTACCTACGAAGCATAACACAAACCTAACCAGTAAAGCTGCTAAGGAAGTGTCTGTGCACAGGCAGCTGCTACAGCAGCTTTCTGCCTGTGTTACCTGCACACAAGTGTTCTTTCCCTAGATCTCTGCAGAAGGGGCTATTCTGTCACTGCACTGCCCGTGCATGAAGTCTCCTGCACCAAACCTCCTTCTTCCCCTGGTGCCAACTCAAGGGCAGATGCAAAAGCAGCCCTTGGGGGGACTACATGTGGTCAMGGCTCCACAGCTGGAGCTGGGCCGCGAGCACCAGGGAAACCACCAGCAGGAGCATTCAGTCGATACACAGAATCACAGAATGCTTAAGGTTRGAAGGGATCTYTGGAGATGATCTGGTCCAATCATCCAGCCCTGCGGTGGGATCCTCAGGAGCGCCCTGCACGAGCGTCCGCCCGGGCTGCGGGTTCATTAGGCTGCTGAAGGGCATTCTGTGGAAGGGCAGCTCGGGCTCTAAGGAACTGGGTACRCTGTGAAAAGGGTAAGAGCTGCGGGGAGCTGCAGGGGAGCACAAGGCTGGGCCACAGCGGAGCAGAAGGCGGAGGCTGCGCCCATTGCAGGCCGTGCTGTGCTGCACACCCAGCGCTCGGGCACCGGCCACCTCCCCGGCTTTGTTCTGGCCTGGGCAACCAGGGACAGGCAGTTCTAAGCACTGAAGCTTTTTTTTTTTTTGTTTGTGTTTTTTGATGCTTTTTTTTTGTTTATTTGTTTTTCTCTCAGGAAATTACACTGCTTGCTGTTCCAGAGCACAACCACACTGATAACTCGGCTCTTACACGGCTCAGCCTCCCCAAGCCACCACCCCAGCTTATCGGGACGAGCCTCCCCCAGCGGYAGCAGTGCTCAGCCCAGGCTGCAGCCACCGGCCATGCAGCGGCGCGGGGGCAGCGGCGGCAGCCGGCGGCGCGGGCAGGCCCGGCCGTGACGGTGCAGTTCGGCGGCGCCGCGGCCCGGGCACTCACCCACTTGGTAGAGGCGGCCCTCGGGCGAGAAGATGGTGATGTGGCGGTCGAAGCCGGCGCTGGAGCCGCGGGACATGGCGGCCGCGGGGCTCACGGCGTGCAGGCCGCACCGCTACCCGCACACCGGCCACACAGCGGAGCGCTTCCGGGTCGCGCGCCGCGCGCAGGCGCGGAGCCGCCCCGCTCCTGCAGCGTCATGCCGCGCGGCGGGGGCGCCCCCACTGCGCATGCCCGAGCCGCGGGACCTCCGCTACCCGCTTCCCCGCCCGCAACGTGTGTGTGTCCGGCTGAGCATGCGCACCGGGGCGCCTCGGGGCGGCCCTCTGAGCATGCGCACCAGGGAGCCGCGGGGCGAGGCGAGGGCCGCTGAGCATGCGCAGCGGGGCGCTCAGGCGGGGGCTGCTGAGCATGCGCAGCCGGGCGCCGAGGCTGGGGCTGCTGAGCATGCGCAGCCGGGCGCCGAGGGGAGGCCCGCGCTGCCCTACTGCGCAGGCGCAGGGGGCGCGCTCGTTTCCCGCGCCCCGGCCGGGGCTGAGGCGGCTGCTCGCCATCTCGCAGCCGCACGGAGCCGCCGGGCCTGGGGCTGCCGGTGCCGCCCCTCGCTCCCGGTTCTGGTGCGTTTTCAGACACCAGCTGATGGTCTCTGGTATCTGGAAAACTGTTCAAGCACGTTCAAGGTCGCGATGTTTTAGAGAACACGCACAAAAATACCAGAAAACTGAAGAGAAGCGTACCACTACGAGCTGTGCAGACCTTCAAGAAACACAGTGCACACAGATTTTTTAAACGGTTCCACATGTTCCCCCAAGTGGACATAATTTTAAGGCAAATGAATACATAACCTCAAAGGAAGATGTTTAAGATACTATTTGTGTATTGTTGCTACAGCTGCGTTAGACTGACGCTCGGCCTGTGCCCAGTGCAAAGGGAAATCCCCACATTCAAGCACGTGAATATTGCGCTTTTTGCCTTTCAGCGTCTTGGGTTTCCCCTGCTCCTTGTGGGGAAACTTTTTTTTTTTTTTTTAAGTCAGGTTGTAAAGGAGCTGGGCAAGCTCTGCTTTGATACTGAAACTTTTGTTTTAAGAGAGGACTATTTTGACAAACTTATTCTGTGTTGAAAGAGCAGACTGCAGAAGCATTTTGGATCGTATTAACGTTTCATGCATTAAAATCGTGCTTTTCTTAATTTCTCCCAATACTTCTTGTTGTTTATTAGTGCCATGGAAACATTAACCGTCTCGCTGTGTATTACACAACTCAAATTTGGTCAATACGGGAAACACTCTGCAGGCAGATGTAAAGTTGTTGAAGCTGTGATGCAAACATTGCAACACAGAAAACGTAAATACGCAAAAATTCCTRTACCAGGGCTGCCTAGCCCGCTACCCTGTCTCCAACTCGAGATGCCCACAGAAGAGCATGAAGAGAGCCTTTAATTAAACATTTTCATGCTGAATATTCTCCCAGTCTCCAACAGCTGGAAGGGGCTTCCCAAGGCAGAGACAGTGCCTGGTTCAATAACCCTTGAGGATTTTTCTTTCATGAACTTGCTGATCTCCCCTTGCACTCAGGTGAACTCCTTACACCCACGACATGCTGTTGCTCAGCGTGAGCTGCTCAGCACGTGTGGTTCCATCTGAAACTTCACTTTTTATCTGAACTTTCCATCTGCCAGCTTCATTTGGTGCCTCCTCTTGTGCCGGGAGAGACAGCAAATGATTGAACCCTATTCACCCCTTCCCAAGCAGCTGTGACTGTAAAGACATCTATCTTATTTCCCCTTAGTCACCTTTTACTTTTCTATTTATTTAGGCCAAGGACTCAGCCTAAAGACTCAGTCTAGTGGTCCTTCCTTATTTGGAAGCTCCATACTATAACAATGGAGTTTCATGTCAGTTTTTTTTTTTTCCCTTGACATTAAGGGTATGGGAAAATGGAAGGAATTATCTAACACTCAGCCCAATTGCCAAAAAGTACCAGAGTCAGAAAATCTTATGACTCTAACAGTCAATACTTGACTCAGACCAACGTTAGATTATAGTTACTCAATACCACAGGGATGACAGAGCAGGAGTCATACTGCTCCCAGGATATAGCTTAGTTTTCCTCATGTGTGTAGCAWTGTAATTGACTACCAAAATACGGATTTGTTTCAGAAAAACAACCAATAAATATTGCTGATGTAATATTCACCACATCTGATCAACCACATTAGTCAGAGTCTCTGTTATAGGATTACAAAGAAAGACTGTTCTGAGATCTTTTTAACATAATAAATAAAAATCCATTACTTTGGAGATTAAATTATTCACAAACTATTGCTGTGGCCGAGGGGTGGACCCATCAATCTAATSAAGACTAGCAAAGATTCTTAATTTTTTACTGTACCACTGTAAGCACAGGTTTTCAAAGCCTCTTCTCGTCACCTTATATGGTTTTCTTTTGTCCAGTAGTTTTGCTGGTATATTGTTTTGGTTTGGCCCGCAGGTTTATTGCCAGTGAAATCCCCTAGAATTCCTTTTAAATAGTCCAAAGGAAATCCTCATATTCATGCTGTCTCCAAAGTCTCTTTTTCAGTGATCTCTTTCCAGACAAACAGCCATGCAAAGCAATGTTATTTCCCCCACATCTTGAAGAAAATGCAAATAATTATTCTGGTATAATTATGTATTTTCAGCCAGAAGGGAATCTCTGGAGAGTGCGCACAGCCATACGAATGGGTGGCATGMAGCTGAAAAAGTTGGCTGTTGGATATAGTTAAAAAAAGGAGGTTAGCACAGTAGGGCTGTGGATGCACATGGTGTCTCTATGTGCTCCTTTAAAAATAGAACAATTTTAATATCTGGGGGTAATTGTTTTCCTGAATAGGGGAGAAGGCTGCTTTTACCTCCATTTGCCCTCTAGYTGGCGACCCTCCAGCAGAGACAGGGCACTTCCATCCATTTTTCTGGGCAGAGGGGTTTACATAAAGGTGATAAGTTGAATAAACAAATGCCTTTTTTTTTCCCATTTACATTCCCATTTTCCCATTTACATTTACAAATCATAACTCAGAGCACTTTTCCTGTAATATATACTATTTTCTTCTTGGTCTTTCCAAAATTAAGGCTTTTTTTTTCTGTAATGAATTTCTAGCTAGGATTAACTTCTATTTAGAAAATTCTCATATTTACATAAGCAAACAATTCAAGAGGTGTGAAATCCTCTGAGAAGCAGCACATTTAAGACTAAAAGAGCCACAGGGTTTCCTATTCTTCTCGTGTCCTTATTCTTCTGAATAAAACCTCCTTGAATGTTGTTATTAAGGACTAGAACTGTGTTTGGCAAACAGTGAATAGCACCTGCCCAGTCAGCAATTTTGGGACACACGGTGCAACATGGTTGCAAAGTCAGCAGGACATTTTGCAAGTACTTGACAAGTCATAGGTGATTTATTTAAAGTACAGGGTTTATGATTTTTAGTGCAGATGAAAAGGGTCAGCAAAAAAGAAACACAACCTGAAATTCCAAGGAAAAATACATTTTAATTCAAATCACTTCTGAAAGACATGGCCTGGAAAGATGGACACAATGGATCAAATTCATCCCCAATGATCCACCATCAATGTTAACAGATTCACTGCTGCAATAATTTTGACAAAATGCAACGACTGAGTCATTTTTCGGCCACATGTCTCACCCATTAATCCCATAATTGTACTGCTGAGTTGATAAAAAGTTGGGTTTTGGCTTTTACAAGTCCGTTCTTCATTGCTTCTGTTGGAGACAGAGCCATTTTCTTGGCACTTGATACGAGTATTTTTCCTCAAACATATCTTTATAGGGAATATGCCATGTATCACCTGTAGTCTGTACCACACAGTCGTAGTTGAAAGCAGGCTGTTGGATAAAGACAGAGAAAAATCATTTTACACAATGTATTGCTAAAATAGCAGTTAGACATCAACTTTTACAAAGCAGCAGCTTCAAGGAATAACTGTGTGCTGAGGACCTGCTCAGCCACACATTTTCACTCTTGATTTTTTCCCTGAACATTTTATACCAGGTGTGTTTATCACAAAAGACACCAAACACCTTCAGGCAGCCTGATGTGCTGCTGAGCCCGAAAGCACGAGGGCAGCCCTTGCTCAGCTCACTTCAAGGTCCTCTCCGTTTACTTCTGTCTTCTTAACTGCACCATGACCCACACTCCCCATTTCCTTTCATCTGTATAGGCTGCTTTTCATTTCTGTGCATTTAAAATGCTTATACAGATCAAACATGAYGGTATCCAATCCCCAAATTCGCATTTATTTTCCAATAGCAAGCAACTTGTAAATCTTAGGAAAGACTGGTGGAAAAATGGAAACATATTTTAGTAGTTTGCGGTCTTGGAGTCATTATAAATGGTTCAAATTCYGCCTTCAATATCCACCAGATAAAAATCATTTGAACATAACACATTAAGTTTCCAGAAAGAGCAAACTGACTTTTTTTTTTTTCTTCTCTCCTCCTTTTGGCCCTTCAGTTCAATGAAATCATACAGGAATCAAATCAGGACGTGGAGCTTGTGTGCTTGCCCTAAAATCAAGGTTGAATTAACGACACCTTGTGTTTGCTCTTCCTGTGCACCTCCTTACAGCACTGATTTGCCCTGTGCTCAGGTGATKCCAGAAATGGAATTATCACTAACACTTCAAGTATGTCCCATCAGAAAAAAATATTATTAACAAATGTAATAAACCATTCTGTGGGTCTGTCACGCTCCAGGTAGAGCAGCCCATCGCGCCTGACACGAGTGCCGAAGGAGCCTGGCTGGTTTCCCATCCCAACTTTCAGAACAGACTGTCACTGCACACACATGTTGGTGGCAGCACTTCCCCACTAGCGCTCCTGGAATAACCCAGACTATGCCTGGAAAAGCCCTGCATGCAAAAGCAGGAACCGAGATGGGAAAACTACTCCTTCTGCTAAAGCAAAAGCAGGAACTGAGGTGCAGCTGAAGCTGTGCAAAGCAGGTAGCCCGGCTTTCAGATTCACAGACAGGCACATGTCTAGTGACACTTCACGAAAGGCTGTCATAAGCTGTGGTCTTTATAGCATGTTTGCAGCAGTAAATATTACTTTAAAACTTCAGAGCCACAAGAAAATGAATCTGCATAGGCACAGCAGTCTTATATTACTCATAAAAACAGCGACAGAGCATTCATTAGAAAAAYGTATAATCTTGAATATCATGTAATGAATCTGACAATCCCTAGAAAAATTTTAGAATGGCTGAAGCCTTGTTAATGAACTGCTCACACAGACTGCTGTCTCCTAAACAAAACGTTACAGTACTGTGCTAAGATAAACCTCTTATCCTTGGAAAGGTGCCACATCTACAGGCAAATATTGACTATGAATCAGACTATTTTGGTCTTTCCTTCACTGCATGAAACCTTAAAAATATGTTAAAGAAATACTACAGTGAATACTGAAATACTCATATTTTACTGACTCTTTAAAACAAAGATGAATGGAATTGGAATACAGTTAGAAATATGGTATTTAATAATAGTTCTGCAGAGGAGAATGAGATATTTCCACATTTTAAACATAATGCAGAAATATTGGCACATATGTTCTACTGATCTGGAAARATTTGTATACACAAAAACGTACCTACATGTACACAAAAAAAACCTGGATTTTAATCATTTTAAGCATTACTTCATTTTCCAGTTTGTGGCAGGCTTTGAGAACACAGTGCATTTTCAGCAACACTGGGAGTTTTGAGCATATGGGTACAAACCCACTTGTTAGACATCAACAGGAATCCTCCTGCTTTCTGAGTGTGAAACTGTGCACGTCCCTAGCGAGCACGTTCTGTGCTCTCTCTGAACGCTGCCCATAACTTACCAAAAAATTCATACGCTTTCCCTCTGTGGAAGRGGACAGCACGATCTGGTGGCCACGCTGCCACTTACGGAAGAGGCGCCGCGTCAGGCTGTCGGAAAGACAGGCCTTGTGATCCCGCAGGAAGTCTCTGGTGACAAACCTGCAGTGCTTGCCCGACCTCAGCGTGGCATAGAGCAGGAAGGTGTCGTCCTCGGAGCTGAACCAAACAAGAAGGGCAGACGTCAGGCACGCGGCAGCAACCGGCTGCACTGCAGGGAGTGAATCGAGTGCTTGCCCGGGATTTATTTATCAGCAACACTCAAAATTTCCTCCACTACTTAGCTTCACCAGTAAAACAAATAATTTCTTCCTACTGCTATGCACTAAAAGCTAGTGAGGGGAAGAAAAATTAATTGGATGCTACAAAAATTCTTGTGTTTTATCACTGATTGATAGCAGCGTAGTTTTTGCCACCAAACTTAACAATACAGTGCTGTGGGAAATAGAATTTCTAAAATTAATAATGGCACTCCCCTCAAAAATTTTGGAATGCACTTGGAATAAAAACATACTGATAAATTGATTTTAAAAATGATAAATTGATTTAAAAAAAAGTTATAAATAGCCAGTAGGATTCTAAATGGTGATATTCAGTCTTAATGCAACAGTTAACCTGTATTAGTTCCTGAAGCACAYTGGGCAAGGGGYAYATTTTCTGACATATACTGACCTGGAATTATCCTACTTAAACCCACAGCTCTTCATATTGCTTTAAAACGCACACAATTCAGAGCTGATCTCTATTAAGTTCAGCCATTTTCTTCCACTTACATATTTTCTGCAAAGAARAAGTCTGCCTTATTCTGCATCTCCTTCATAACGTCCTGCTTCCAGTTTGAAGAGTTGACCAGCATGTGCTTGCGGCCCAGCACAAGCAACCGCACGTTCTCCTTCGCCAGGCAGTTGATAGCATGAAAGAGCTGCAGAAAAACAAAGCAAAACCAAAGGTTTTCTTAGCTCTACGAAAACAGAGCGTCAGGAAACACTTTTTTCATCTGCATATCAAAAAGCACAAGTTCTAACACGCCCTCATTTCCCACAGTTCTTTCCTGCAATACAATTTACGTGGATAACTCTAATACAGCCCTCTAACAACAAAGCCATTAAGGGAAGCAACTCCCAAACACAGAGAAAACGCACTGCTATTATAAACCTTTTCCCAACTCCTGCAGGTTGTAATTGCATAGACGACTTCACTCACAGTTCCGTGGGGRCCTCCAAAGCTCAGAGGAGCGCGAATCCCTCTGGATTTGAGCCCTATATAGGCCCRGACGGGATTCTGCAGCGAAGCCTCCGCTGGTACTGGAGCAAGGAAGAGGGAGCCCTCGACCAGCCCTCTCTTCCAGCCCCATCTAGGGTGTGAAGTGCAGAACTGCACTGAGCTGGGCTGTCCACAGGGAAGTACCAGCTCCATGGGAAAGGCCAGGGGGGAGCTCCGCACTGAGGGCCCGAAAGGCCAAAAGGCCTTTCGGGCCCTCAGTGCGGAGCTCCCCCCTGGCCTTTCCAAGGGCCTACAAGGCCGCAGGCAGACCCCACAGAGCCCCCCATATGCCGGACAGACCCCACGGAACTCCCCACGTCCTGACATGGCCCAYGGGTTGCTGCCTTTGGAGCGGCTTTGTGGTGGCGTCATGGAGCTGGTCGGCACCAACCGCCATTTGTCTGGCTGCCCACAGGCTTCGCATCCATGAAACTGGATCCTGAGGGAAGCACACGGTTGGGTCTTGAGAAATAACGGGAAAACTGACATTCAGATTATTTTTTCAGCATTGAGGTTTCGTAAAATCAAAAATTCCTTAAGGCTGGAAAGGACCTGTAGAGGTCATCCAGTCCAACGCCCCTGCACATTGTGTTGTTGAATGGTTCATCTAAGCCCATTAATCTGAGCCCAATCTGCTTCATTAATTCATTTCACCGATTTATTTTCAGGTCTTCATTTTATTTTCAGGTTCTCTTACGCATTGGCCCAGTCCTGCMAACGGCTGGAAGCAAGGTCCAAAGGGAAACCAAATTTGTTAAGCTGACTCATTAAACAAGGCCTCTTCCAGGCTTTTCAGCAAAGCTTTCAGAGAAGCAGTTCCTTCAGGTTACTGGAATTTGAGTTTTATAACACGCAGGGCCAGATGCTTCTCGTGGACGCTACCATTTCTGTACAACAGCGACCCTGCAGCTTCTATTCTTAGACACCAGCTCCCAGGCCACAAGTGTTGCTACTTTTTGCCATTCACATCATTCCTGCTCAAGCAGAAACATAAGCAATGACTTTCAGGAAAAGAAATCTGCTCTTGGGTAGCATAAAGTGGGCTGAAAACAACATTTTTTTCCCCTATAATCTCATATATACATATATATATGTATATATTTTTCATTTTGTTAGAGCTGCAATGCTCCATGACTGACATAACTACCTTACTTCATAGATGACTACAGTGTAAAATTAGTGAGATTAATCTTCTCTTTGTCTTTATAACACAGGTCAGATTTTTTTTCCTTGTTTTTGTTTTAAAAAAATCAAAATTTAGATTTGGTCTAGTAACAAAATGGCACCAATGTAACTGGAGTTAATCTCACTTTTTATGGCTTTTTTTCAAGTCTCTTTGTGAATGCTGATTCTGAAATAAAAAATATTTTATTTCAACTACCTTTAAATTAACTGTCTGTTCAAACTGCCATGACCTAGCAGCAAACTTGCACACAAAAGCTCTTTGCTTYGGACTACAAGCCAGCTTGTACTGATTTTAACATATCTTCAGTTTGTATCTGGTTGACACTGGAATAATTTGTGCCTGTAAATCCAAGGGGTTTAAAACTATATTTCCTCTTATGCTGAAATACGTACACTGACAGCCACAAACTGCATTGATGCAATAGAAGTTAGAAGTGTAACTACTCCCTGCGTATACATTTTCACGTAAAGAATAAAATTGCAAAGGAATATCAATCAGGAGTAATGTAAGCAACTCCTTAAGAAGCCTGAAAATAAAAACTGGACATGAAGAGTAGCCTGATGGGGCAGGAGAAACAAGCCCCGAGCAGGGGCTTCCTGAGTAGTTCTCTCCTTGGGACAATCCCAGAGATAACAGAATGCACCAGGAACCAAGTTCCTTTTCATTTCTGCAGTGATACCATTTTATGGCATTTCCCCTCAACCATCAAGCTCCTGCCCTCACATCTCAAGCACATCCTTCTTTCAGCTGATCTGACACAACCTCCTCGCAGGGCTATGTTGTCCACATCACATCACAGAAACAACCATGCTCAGACACAAGACATCTGACACAAATCTTTGGAAACGGGAGCGGGGTGCTGGCAAACTGTGAGGTGAAAACTCACTACGTTCCCCCATACTTTCCTGAGGGAAAACGTGCATCTCCAGCTCCATTTGACAGGTGCATAAAAAGATGAACGACTACCTCGCCCAAGGAGCTGGGAGCAGAGCAGGCTCCTCACTTGGCAGTCACCTCCTCCGGGCACACCGCCRTTTCCAAGGATGTTCCTGCATCTCCCTGGATGTTACTGGAAACACCTGCCCGCCGGGAATCCCCGGGGCAGTGGTGCATGGAACGCCCTGCGCGGTGACTCAGCCCCCGGGCCTGCCCGGGCCGCAGCTCCGGCACGCGGGAAGGGGCAACCTGCACGTTACATTGCTCTTATTGCTAATAAAGCACATGAGTCATTTTCTAAGCGTTTCTTTTTACTGACTGCCATCTAAAAGTAAAACACTCCTCGGTCAGATACCTGCCAACAACAGTAAGAGCAGCTCCTGCTATTAGTACCCGCTGTTATGACTTGCTGGTGCTGCCTGCCACCAAGCCCGTGGCTGGGAAGTGCTGAGGAAAGAGCCACCTCGGGCACAAGCGCAGAGCGGGCACGACTGCTCTCTGCAGGCCGAGCACAAGCACGAGCCTCGCGGGCCACGCAAGGACTCAGCTCTCCACAAAAGCCTGCATTTGACTTCCAGTTTCAGCCTTTTCAGTTTCCTTCTACTTATTTGCAGACAAGGAAGCTCAGAAACCTGACCCTGTTGCCTACTGCTGTGCATGGGAGCAGAGGGATGCCCTGGGAAGCATGAGGCTGCTTCCCAGAACACAGGCAGCTGCTGAGGGAAGTGGGGGTGCTGCTTGCACAGGGGAAAGGTTGTAATTTCTCAGTGAGCCTGGGAATTTCACAGAAGCAAATCCGATTTGTATCCTGCTTTACCGTTGGGATGATTCAGGTGGATGCAACACACACCATGCAAACYGCTCATCAGCAACGCCACTTCTCACAGCTCCATGACAGCAGCAGTCACACAAGGTATAGGAAGTACAAGTGACATGAAGGATGGGCAGATAGGAGCTAGAGGATGTGCTGGATTTCTGGCTTTTCAAATTACAACACTGAAAGATCTCAAGAATTTAATCTCAGACTGTACATGCAGTGCATCCATCAGTGCAAGCATTCTTACTCGTCCCTTTCTGAATGATACTGTTTTCATCTTCATCTTCCTCAGATGCATAAGGTCAGCCAATGAGAAAGGAAAGAAAATAGGTCACGACGATATCTAGCAGAGCCGATCAATGACAAGAACTCTGAAGCGACAGCTACAGAGGAAACAGAGAGGGGATATTGCTATTATTATATAGTGATGGGCTACTCTTTCTGACTGTTGCAACAATTCAAGAAATACACRTGGACACAGAACATTATTCAGTTGCRTAACTGAACCTTTGTGAAGGTTCAGTTTTGAAAGGTTTTGAAAGTCACTGCAGAGCCGGCCGAGCGCCTCAGTCACAAAAAATTCTGTTTTAYAGCAACAGTTTGAGTCTCCTGGTGACAAGGAAACTATGACGTGTTAACCACTTACTATACTACTTTCTTTCCCAGTCACTTAAGAAATTCTAAGACTGGTTTAAACATGCAARCAGATTCACCGATTGTGGCTTGGCAACGATCAATCAGGAACAAAAGTGGCAGAAAAAGGATGATGCTGAAATCCAAAGCAGCAGCTTGAAAAGGCAACAGCTGAAGTTAGGATATGTTCATATTTGCAGCAAAAAATCAGTGATACGGCAAATTTCCTCTCCTGTTACATGTAAAGCACACGTTCTTCACGATTTCAGGAATTCAAGAATGCTCGTATGCCTCAGCCATCATGGCCAAGCACCTGAAATGGGGTCCTGGGCTGCTTGGCTTCCACTCAGAAAGCTGCTCCCTTCCCCAGCCTGCACCTTACGCTCCCCAGAAGATTTGTGCTGGCGAGGGGAAGGAGCAGGGGTGAAACCGCCGCGCTAGGGCCACCGGGGATAATCGAGGGGCCGTGCGCCCCTTCTTGGTTTGTTCTGGCCGGGCTTCCTCCTCCCCACAYGGCTGCACGGATCTGAGGGACAGGAAGGTTGAACAGGCAGCCCACGATCCTGTGTCCCCCATGAACCAACTTCCTGATGTTGCTTTTAGGAGAGGGACCACAAAGGCCCTACTCACCTGAGTAYGGGTCCAAGTGTGCAGGTAAACAGGTTGTTTCTGCATTTCTGAGCAAAACCTTCTTCTAGAACTTGAGTTTTGAACTGCTTCATGCAGGAAGCACAAAAGGGGACAATGAGAACGATGCACAGAATGGGCCACATCCACTGAAAAACTGAAAGTGCCTTGAACTCATGAGCTATTTGCCAAAAGACATTCTTCTACTCATAAAAACCCCACTCATATACATCAGCAGCTTGTTATTTCTGGACAGCAATTTATGGAATATAAGATGTTAATTTCAGAAGAAACACGCTGCAATAAGAAGATGTAGGTATGGAAGAAAACATGTCTCAAAAGTTCATCAGTTCTAAAAGTGATCTGCTTCAGATGACATTTCCTCCATGAAAACCACTCTCCTTGGGACAGTTTCTCAGAAAACACGACTGAGCACCTGTGTCTCTCAGGTCTTTCTGGG